AGTTTACTTTCAGCAGGATTAGCAAAAATGTTAGATTATTCATGGCCATGACGGCTGGGACATCTCGTCGCTGAACCACGCCAAGGAGATGCGGCGCCTGAAGGTGCTGGACTGGGACCTGCTGGAGCAACTGTGGCGGCACATGGAAGCCCTGCGGCCTCGACCTTCCGTCTACATCCCTGAGTTCATCACGGCCAACCAGACCAGGCGCGTTGACAACCTCCTCCCGGACTCGCGCCCGCAGCAGCTCTAGCACATCCTCAAGGACATCCCAGACTTCCGGTCTAGCGCGGGGCTGGACAAAGTCACCGTGCTGTGGACGGGCAACACAGAGCGCTTCTGTGAGGTGGTTCCGGATCTCAAGGACACGGCCCAGAACCTGCTGCGCACCACTGAGCTCGGCCTGCAGGTGTCTGGCTCCACGCTCTTCGCCATTGCCGGCATCCGGGAGAGCTGTGCCTTCCTCAGTGGGTCCCCGCAGAACACCCTGGTCCCCGGAGCGCTTGAGCTCGCGTGTCAGCGCCGGGTTTTCGTGGGCAGAGGAGACATCAAGTCTGGCCAGACCAAAGTCAAGTCCGTGCTTGTGGACTTCCTCATCAGCTGTGGCCTCAAGACCACGTCCATCGTGAGTTACAACCACGTGGGCAACAACGACGGGCAGAACCTGTCGGCGCCTTTCAGTTCCGCTCTAAGGAGGTGTCCAAGAGCAATGTGGTGGACGACATGGTGCGGAGCAACCCAGTGCTCTATACACCTGGTGAGGAGCCCGGCCACTGCGGTGGTCATCAAGTAGGGGGTACCTGGGCGATAGCAAGCGCGCTGGGTGAGTAAACCTCGGAGCTAACGCTGGGTGGGACCAACACACTGGTGTGCACGACACGTGCCAGGACTCGCTGCTGGCCGCACCCATCACACTAGACCTGGCGCTGCTGACCGAGCTGTGCCGGCGCCTGAGCTTCTGCGCTGAAGCTGACCCCGAGCTGCAGACCTTCCACCCCGTGCTGTCCCATTCAAGGCGCCGCTGGTGCCGCTTGGCAGCCCAGTGATCAATGCGCTTTTCTGCCAGGACAGCTGCATCAAGAACATCCTCAGGGCCTGCGTGGGGCTCCCGCCACAGAACCACATGCTCCTGGAGCATAAGATGGCGCGCCCAAGGCCCGGCCTCAAGCAAGTCAGACCCGTGGCTGGTACCTGCCCTGTGTCGAACAAGAAAGGACCGGAACCCACTTCCACCACTGGCTGCACCAGTGATGCCAATGGGCCCGCACAAGTGGAGGAACCCCAAATGCCCACCACCTGAGGCCCTTGTCACACAGCTTCCCAGCCCTTCCTCCCTGCTGCCCCCTAGGACACCACCTTTCCAGGCCATTCCAAAGACAATAAAGCCACTGCCACTC